TTGCTTTTTCACTCTTTTTATTTTGTCTTATCTTATTCATAGTCCGTTTTCTTGTTTTTAAAAAATAATTTTATCAAACATTATTTTCTCTTTGGCCGAAATGAACAATTAATTAATTTACATCTTTATTTTTTATAATTTAAATGTTATTCTCTCTTTAACCGTGACATGAGCAATAATAAATTTACATATCAAAACAACAATTTTACCCATATCATATTCTCTAATGTAATTAAATCGATCTATTATTATTCGATTGTTTTTTGTAGAGGAAGTAAATGAGTGTGGACTAAAACTGTAACTAATGAAATTATACACACACACACATGAATTAATATTGCCATGAAATCAATTATAACAATATTGATTTTTAATTGACAATAGAATACTTGAGTTCACTTGAAAGGTTGAATAGAAATAATATTGTCATACCTGCGTTAATATGTAACTTGCACAATTTAAACATTTTGAATTAATCGATTTTCATGCTGAAATAGTATAATTTTACATGTCAGAACCTGTAATACTACTCAATACTACCAATCGTGCAGCCGATCATTTTTGTTAGTTCACGTAAAAGCTCTGTCGTGACGTTTGCTCATTTGAAGCTGCAAATTTGTGCTTTTGAATAAAAGATGAATTGCGATCTAACATTTCAGACAATGTAGAATATAACCATTAATTTAATGTTCGCGAATTTATTCAGTATGATTTTTCTCTATTTTATTTATATCAAATAATTATGATCTTTTAACTTAAGAAAATTGTTTCTGTTTTTTTTTAATTTTTGCTATTTTTTGCTCTTAATATTTTGAAATTTTTGTGGGATAGTATTGTTATAATCTTCAATCATTAAAATTATTATCGGAGAACAATCTCATAATGACTTTTGATATTGACTTTTGTACATTATATAATTACATATCATCACTGCAAGTCACCAAAATATAAAATTAGTTTCGAACTTCGTATACCTATTACATGCTGGAATGAATGGTTTATCAGAAATTAAAACATTCAGAAATTTATTTGACGAGATCATTTAACATGAAGAATTTCTACATGCATTGCATTAATAGTTGTAATTGATTGTAAATTAGAAATGCTGCTGATGACAGAATAGAGTTTCTAATAATGATAGAAGATGATATTTAATGATTGATTTTTATATCATATATTTATGCATTTTATATTTTAATACTTTTATTTTACATTTTCACGAATATGACTATTGATAAAATAACAAAAATAATAACATCACTCTAAACCTTCATGTTAAAAAAATTCCTTAATACACACAATTATTTAAATAATAAAATATATTGTAACATGTTTATTATACAAGTTCAATTTTATTTTATAAAAAAAGTCTTTTTAAATTTATCTTTAAAATTTGTATATTTTTATTATCAATTTTGTATGTATGAGATTAAAATAATATAAAATAATCGAAAAGTAAATTATATTATAATTTTTAACATAACTGAAAAGTGTCAAATATTAAAAGAAATAAACAAAGCAATGAATTAACTGTATAGTTGTATTTTTAAATATTTGCTGATGCTTTTGTATATAGAGAAAAGCATAATAATGCAACAAAAATATTGGACATAACATAAAATAAGTATTATTTATGTAGTATTATTTGTATACAAATATTCAACAGTATAGTTGTATATGATAAAAATCTAACGATGTGCAGTTTGTCATGTATTTTTAACTTTGCGGATTTATTACCATGTCCGAGAATTTCTTTCCTATGGATGATTCCCTTTTTGGAGCTTATCCTAGTGGAATGTCATTTTATTTTCTACATATTTCTTCTCGACGACTTTTATGTTGCAACAAAGAATGTGACGAAAAAAGATATACGCAACCATAGAAAGAACAAGAGATATTATCAAACAACATGTCTATTTGTTCGATTAACGTGGGTACATAAATCAGGATTACATGATTATATGATGCGAAGTTCTAAATTAGGTATTACGATATCAGGATGCCGCAAATGTCAACATGCTGTTTTAATAGACTGATTATATTAATTTATGGTTATGCCTAGGAATTACTTTATCTCGTATTGAAAAATTTAATTAAATATGGAGCATAATAATTTTTTCTGATTAACTTTTTTTCCTCTTGCATTTTTAACAATATTATATGATTTTTTAGAAATCTTCTTACAATAAAAGTCGATACATGGTCAAATTTTAAAATAACAAATTTCTTAACGATATACATTACAACGCGAGATGTTCGCAGCTAATATTTTATATTTTAATCACATAACAATTAAATAAATAGATGTGTCGACTTTAAATTAGGTCATCTTCATTATTACACAATTATTTATTCAAATTCGCACATATAATATATTATTGCACAAAGAGTTCTCGCGTTATAACTTGTAAAAATGACAGGACAATGTTAACAATAAGTTATCTTTTCTAAGTAGAATCTTAAAAGAGAAAGTAGTCGAATATTGTATCGTATTATAGAGAAATTATCTATTATTAAATTCAGTCAATTACTCCTATCGCTCATCTTTTTTAGTTATTCCACATATAATTTCCAGATTCTAATGGAATGAATATTCTTACATTAATAATAATAAATTATAATTATAAGAAACTACAATAATATCATACCTATGTACAATAACTTTCGTGAGTCTTATCAGGATGTGGTGAACTTGTTGTAACGAATCAACTACTAAAGCCTGTATGTTAAACTCAAATCATGACAGTCTATTTATAAACAATTTCAATAGAAAAGCTGATGGAGAGGGTAACGCTGGAGTTACGTGGGAGAAGTTATATTAAGCAAAGGAAAATATACTTTGGGTAAACGCTCTGTATCATTTTGTATGTTAATAGCATTAATTTATTTTTTAATGGATATCATTTCAAACGTGAGTCTTTTTTGAAAACATGACTCTGAATTTAATAATGAAATATTCTCCCAATCAAATTCAATGTAATGTGGTATATAAAATAAGCTGTCTCGATTTTTGTGACGTTTCATATAGGCCAGATGAAAAGGAAAGTTAAAACAAAGATAAAGGAACATATAGCGAATATTAAGAACTCCAAAGATTTGCGCACAATAGTATCAGAGTATCAGTTAGAATATGGACATGAATTAGATTGGGAGAATATTTCATTATTAGATTCAGAGTCACATGTTTTCAAAAAAGACTCATGTCTGAATGATGATGCTTTAGTAGTTGATTCGTTATAACAAGTTCACCATGTCCTGATAAGACTCACGAAAGTTATTGTACATAGATATGATATTATTGTAGTTTCTTAATTATGATTTATTATTATTAATGTAAGAATATTCATTCCATTAGAATCTGGAAATTATATATGGAATAACTAAAAAGGATAGGTAGGAGCGGTAGGAGTAATTGACTGAATTTAACAATTTCTCAAGAGTATAATACGATACAATATTCGACTACCTTCTTTTTTAAGATTCTATTCAGAAAAGATAACTTGTTGTTAACGTTGTCCTGTTGGATTATTTTTACAAGTTATAACGCGAGACATCAAACTGTTTGTTACGATAATATATTATATGCGCGAATTTGAATAAGTAATTGTGTAATATTGAAGATGACCTAATTTGTGTGTGTGTGTGTGTGTGTGTGTGTGTGTGTGTGTGTGTGTGTGTGCGCAAAACACAATATTATTATTAGTTTTCCGCGTTAACAAAATTTGCACCTCTTAGAAGGGCTTGTAATCTCTAAGCGCTCCCCTCAGAAACGTCTACTTCCATGATTTTCTAATGACCTTTTTTTAACGTCGCAATTTTCCATGACAAAACCAGTGGAGTTGCAAAGACCACTTTTTCAAAGTAATATGTAATAGTACCGACTTCTTTTTTAAAACAATTATCCAAACTCTTTATTATTGTTACCGTCATGAAATACAATATTGCCTACGTCACACATTGTTTTTACAAAATAGTGTTGCGGGACTTTTGTTATTTTTAACGCAAGTTTCATTATCGTTATAACGTCATTGCGCTGCTTTTTTAAAATGAATTTTCATGATAAAAAAACTGCGTTACGGTATTATAACGATAACGAAATTTTCGTCAAGAATTACAGAATAGATTTGCTGGTGAAAGCCTGAAGCTTTGACCTTTTATTCATTTAACTACTATGATACGTGTGTGTTTAGGAACAGGGACAAGTTATTATAAAAGTATTGCTTAATCTTGGGTTTACATTTATTTTTAAATTGTCTCCAAGCGCCTCTGACATTTTGGTGTCCTAGGACTCAAGCCTCAAAAGCTCATAGGTTAACGCGATATGTAATAAACCAGCTGCTTATCTTGCTTTCATGATGAAAATTACCTGTACGGATATTATAATATATATATTATGGTTACACAGTATGGTGGCTCTTTATTAAATATTTTACCATTTTGTGTATTTTTAATAACTAAAAAAAAATTAACTGGTAGTTTTTAAGTGTACATACAAGAAAAAAATATATATACGTTAACTATGAACATATTGTACGTTTTATTATAATTTTTACATAAATGTCGATATATTAAAAATGCTACATGAAAAAGTCAATGCACTTTTAGTATATGAAAAGATATATGAAAAATTATTTTTTAAACATGATAAAATGAATTTAAAATATATGTTTGCACATGAGAGGAATATTATTATAAAAGAAAAATAATTAATACATTTATTATTTAACAAAGATATCTTTATTAAAATATCATTTTAAATATTAAAGATATCTTTAGTCAATTCTTAACGTGAACGAGTAAGAATTTAATTAAATCAATATGCCCATACTTTTAGTATTTTTAGATGATTATTATTTGACAGTTATGTTTAACAGAGTAATTATTCAAGTTCAATTTTAATTATTTTATTTTGAATAATGAAATGAAATAAGTACATATTAAAGAATATTTTTAAATACGGGATGAAGCATTTGAAATTCGTATACGACAGGACATTGGTATATCTATATCATCTTGCCAGATATACGATCGCAAAGCTTGTAAAAATCTCAAAAATAAGCCTTTATTAATATCAGCATTTGGATAATTATTCCAATAGTTGGGACTTGAATATCGGGAATAATAATTGTTTGGAACTTTTTCAGATCCCGCAAGTTTCTTATAGGGTTTGTCAGTCATTAATTTTTGAACTAGAGCTGTTTCCGAATTCCGACGATTTTGATGAATTAGTGGTCGATCCTTCGATTGGAAGATCCTTCAATCTCATTCAGCCTTGACCCTCTTTTCGTAGAAAAGCGTTTAGTTCTCGATATGTTATGTCCTCGATACATCAAGATGTCCTCGAAGAAATCTTTCGGAGGTAAGACGACGCTCACCAAACATATAGTGCTTTTCGTCTGTCTCCGTCTGTTCCTTATTTTTCTGATGCTTCGATCGTCGAGGTATATCCTTTAAAAATTCTATAGGTGGCGATGAAAGGTGGCTCATGCCCCATCTATCAGAATGAAATGATTTTTCGTGATTTCGTTTTTCTGTCACATCCTTTCCTCTCGCGTCATCTTTCTTTTCCTTGATCTTCCGCTCCAACGATTTCGCTATTATAGTCTTTTCGTTATCTTTTTTATTATTCTCATTGATTTCCTTGTCATTTTGAGAGAAAAGTTTGGAATCAGTTTTATGATTTAAATTCCTTCCAGTTTCTGAAAAAGTTTTAAGATTTTTATTCGTGCGACTGTTAGGGACATGTGAAGTTTTTCGTTTGTTGTAAAATTTGACTTTTCGGAATGCAAATGTACATTACCTTTTTTCTTGCTTTCCTGCATCAACGAATTTGTCATTTTCTTTTCATTTTCTTTATCATTGTTGTTGTTTTCTGAAAATTTCATAAAATTGTTATGCATACTTATATTATTTTTAAGAACATGTGAATTTTTGAATTGTTATGGGATCGATTCTTTAGGATATAAATTTTTTATGGAACTAGTACAATCTTCCTCAAGTTTGTTTTTCTTATAATCAGTAGATGAATTTTGTAAGAACGGATCTCTTTTTATGTCGGATATTTCGTAGTCCTTATGTCGTTGATGAATTGTTTTCCAAAGGAAGTTTTTTAGATAAATTTTTCATCTCTGTATTCCATTCGTTGCTTTTGAAATTTTTATTAGATGCTTCATCGATATTTGTAGCCGAGGATTGTTTTAAGTTTGGCCAAGAAAAGAAATGAAATCGATCGCTAGAAGAGCCTTTCACGTCCGCATTGTTTTGATCCATTAACGGATGCTGTATAAATGATTTTGAAGTGGTAGGATCAAGCTGTTACATATATTGTATACATGTATATATTTATAAGCTAATATATTTAATATATTTCCATACTTTTAATGTTATTTTTAGTGAGAGATGTATGTATATTTATATTTTATACAAATAAATTTATATATAATATTATGATGTTAATATTGATTAACATCATAATATGATTAATAATAACAGATTTAATAATTTTATTAAATGAATAATTATTTTATTAAACTTTAAAGCTATTCTAGTAATTGACTTTAATTTAATTTTATAGATGTAACTTACATCTATATTTGCTTCTAATGTTTTGTTTTTTTTAAGTAACTTTATAGGAAGTTTTGATCTTTCTATATTTTCATATTTTTCGTTTTTTGAAAACATTGGTATCTATAACAAAATATACTTTTATTGGAAGAGTATTATGGTATACAAATTTATAATATATTAATAAAATATTAATAGTTTCTTTTTATTAACTCCCAGGTTAATTTACAATTTGTCGTAAGAGAATAAATAAATAAATTTGTTTAAGCTGTATAGACTTGTGGATATTTCCTCATATTGGTCCATATCCTTATTACCAAATTCAAGTTAAATATTAAAATTATTGTTGAATATTGAGAATTAATAATTTAATCATGATTTTTTTAAAGATTCTGTATTGATGTATAATAATGCCAAAACTGCTGGTTAATTTAATGGCTCTTCTAGAAAGAACAATTTTTGTGTGTCCTTATCAGGATCGATTCGTCGTTCGTAAGTTTTCCTGCTTTCGTAGTTTCTTCGACATTGTCGAGGGTAAGTTTCACGTTTCTTCTATACGTTGCCCATTTTTCTCTTTCCTGTCGGCTTATCTCCTGCATTTTCTTTATCCATGGATCCGTCGTCCTTTGTTCCGGATCCTCGGGTTTTGTAAATTCCATCCCCAGGTTTTTCTTTGTCAATTCTTCCCTGTTAAAACGGTTGGCTTCTTAACTTTATTTACAATAAGTTATTTCACGAATTTTATTACCTAAAAATTTATTTACCTATAAAAATATCTATTTATAGATAAATATGTATTTATAATTTAAATTTATAATTTAAACCTTTTTATTTGTAATTATTAATTTTGTAATTATTAATTTTGCAGATATATATTAACTTTTGATATTCTTTATATGAATGAGTATGATATTTTTTTAAATAACTTATATAATTCTTCATTTCTTAAAGAGATTGTTTATAATATTTTATAAATTTACTTATTGTTTACAAGTCTAAAGTGTGTATAAGACGTTTGATATAACAGAAACTAAAACAGGAACTTTATGAACATCCTGTATTATCAACGTAGTGACTGACTGCGGTTTACCGGAATACCTCGGGCCATAGTACTTGTCAGGTGGTTTCCAGTTGTAATTCGGTAACCGCTGAATATGGTTGTATATATTCCTCGGAACTGTGAGGTTCTTCTCGAACTGTCTTGAGTCGGTGTAATCTGCAAACAAGACTGACGCTGGGTATCTGGTTCTTAAAGACGAGACTTAATCACCACTTGGTTACATTTTGAACATATAATATGAAATAAACCGAAGTAGGTACTTGAAATCGAGGGTTCTTGTCAAAGAGTCATTTAATGTCTCTTACCATACATTATCGTCCCTGATTTTCTTGTTTATTAAACTTGTGGTTAAATCCTGGGGATATGTAGTTTTGTACTAAAGTAGCTACATCAACGATTATCAAAATCATTTTCTTAACAAATAGATAAATATGTACCTTTTACAGCAACCGTATTTTTCATTTGTAATTCATAATTATTTGTGCTCTGCGTGTGTGTTTTATATGTTATTTTAAAAATATTTATCAATGTCTTTTATAAAAGCATTTCTTTTGTCAAATATATTGTTTATTAATTCTCCTTTCCAATATTCTGCAAAGTTTATATTTCTGTTTGTTATCAATTTTATTTTTCTCATAAAATAATCTGTTCTTTTGATTATAATCTCGTCGTTGACTAAATATGACAGCAGTATAAAAAGATTATATGCACAGTAAAAGCGCATGAAGGTGATAAATGCTTGAAAAGAAATCGGTTTTGAATAACGCATATGAGTTCGTAACGTACAATGAAACAAGTCGCTTTGGTGACATAGTCTGAAGTTGCATGCTCTTGGCCACAATCGGTACAATTTAACGATATTTAATTGCTAGCGAGGCATGGACAGTAATTGAAAAAATAAAAACGTAGTAAAGCGTTACAGGAGTTATAGTCGTTTCTTGCGTGGAATCCATTTACCGCGCGATATTTACTTTTGATTCGTCAACTGTCAGACTACTAACTGTACTCGCGTACACGCCCATACGGATGCATGTGCTTGTCACCACGGCTATTTTCTACCATTTTCTTTTTCGTCTGTATATTTAGTTTTGCTGGGAAACTTTTTAGCAGTCGTTATCACTTTGACGTTATAAAAAATTTATCTTTAGATAATTAATTTCGACTAAAGATTCTACATTCGACAAAATCGAGATGTCGCGCTTAATTCTGAAAAACATATGATTTTATCATTATTATAGTTATTGTTATATTTTAAAAGAATACTGAAAATGTAAAAAATACAATAGAATTCACAAAAACATGATTAATAGCTGTCATTTTCTTTTAATTTTCAATAAAATTTAAACACAAAGTAATCTTTAAAATATCGAGTTTAATGTGTGCGTATGAATATATTTTAGATGTTAAATATATTTCTCTCAGATATGAAAAAAATAAAATAATTTATGAAACACAATTTATAGACGTTATTATCAAAATATTTTTAGCCAAAGAGAAGCGACACAGAAATTCATGACGCTAATAAAATGCATTAGTGCGAAATTCGTGCGATTTCGATTAACTTAGGAACAGAAAAGAAATTATGATTCACATTAATTCGCCAGTGGGCAGCACTTTTAGTAGAATTTAATTTATTTTGTGACGCATAGGATATTCCGCTACTGACGATGGAATTAGATTTTGGGTGCGCCAGCTTTTGTTGGGGAAAAAGCAACTTTACCCTTTGACGCTGGAGTACGACACGGAGTAAACTGTAATCTACGAAGTTAGCACCGTATTTTGAGCGGATCGATATAACGAGCAGAAAGTATCCGACAGCCTTTATCGCTGCACGGAGATTGCATTTGGCCACGACTTTTATGCGAAACGCTCTGCGACTTTAGCCGACGCGTTACGATCGCGATACGAACCGCGACAGAAATAGAAAATCGATGTTAACCATTTCGAACGGATTCAAGTTTATCTGCGAGATTGACGTCAGGGCTTAACCTAATTGTTCGAATAGATTTTCGCTGAATTCCAGTGAATATCAAATAAATGAGCTGTCTTTATCTCGTGACAAAGTTATTATTGTAGATAGAATAATAGTATAAGAGAGAGAGAAAGAGAGGGATGAAATTCTTATTTGATTCTACATCCTACATTTAACATTAATGTAATATTATATACATATAATATTATATATAATTCTAACTTCTTTGTCTCTCTTGCGATGATCGCGTATATTCTGATTTCTTTTGTTATGAGCTATTAATCAATTTGGTGTCAGTTTTTTCTTAAGAAAAAATTAGAGAAGACATCATCTTTTTTCCTATCACTGTCTAATATCTTATTATTAAATATATCTTATAACTACAATATATATAATCCATATAATTAAAATTTCACTTGTAAGTTCGTTTGAATGTGCGAGTAAAAATAAGATCTTATTGCCTCCATGTGATAAAATTTTATAATTCTAATTTCAAAATTTCATTCTAAATTCTAATTTCATTCTAAATTCTAATTTCATTAGCATGAACGCACGCATACACGCACACACACACACACACACAATATACTAAGCGAAAAATAATTAAAGTCGTTTATTCACATAATAGAATTTTTTAACAATTTAATCTATAGTAATATTGTGAAAGCTAAAATGGTATAAAAAAATTAATGGAAACAAGCATTTGAAAAAAGAACGCTAAGAAGATATATTTAATTCATGGCACATTTGCCGGTGTCCGAGAGAATGGAATAAAGTGTAAACAGGCATGTACAATTTACCATTTAACCAATACGTTTCTCGATAATTACTCGTGTCTGTGAATAATCTGATTGAGACGCTAGCGTGAAAATGGCGATTTTCAACGGATTCAGACATAGCGAGATAAGAGTTAAATGAAATTATCACGAATCAGCATAATCTCGACAGCGTGCCGATTAATATACATATACATCCTTAGCCATATCAAATATGATTCGTTATGATAACGGTGACATCAAAGGAAAATTGAAAAAGATCGTAGGAATCTTGTTGTCAAGGTGAGAGACTTACAATTAGTCTCTTTCCGATCTTTTTCTTTTATAATTGCAATCGCGTTGGTCGATCCGCTGAAGCGGATAGAGATAAGGATTCCGTATTACATCAGTTATAGAACTCAAATTGATTTTTGTTTTTCTTGTTTGATTTGTCGTATCTTACATAATAAACTATGGTAATAGTGTAACAGTGTAACTTATTGTGGCATTTCCTAATAATTTCTTTCTGTATTCGTATATCTACAATACATTAACTTTGTTTGAAATCACACGGTCATGTCATTCAAGTTTTATAAAATATGTCTGTGTGGATGTACTTAAATTAAATTGCCTAAAAAATGTCTAAAATTTATCAAAATAATACTATAATTTTGTAATGTTTATAGATATATGTATATAGTATTTATTATATAAAATTATTGATAAATTTCCAGTGGTTTTAAGTGATTTGTTCAATGTTTCAAAAGTAATCATTTCAAAATAATATTTTTCTGAAAATTACGGAATTAAAAGTTTAGTAAATATTTTAAAAGTTATCTTCTTATGTAATTACAAAATTCATTGCTCCAAAATGTCAAATAAGATACAATGTTGACAGTATTATCGATTGTGATAGCGAAATAAGTGCAGTTTTTTATCGAATGTTTATTTGTAAAATTGTTATGTACAATAAAATCAGTTGCTTACTGTATGAATCCGAGACATGAATGGTAACAGAAGGCAGAAGACAAATGCCACAGGCACGAACAGGTGGCTACTGTGGCTGATGGCTATTTTGTCCGGTAGCATATGATATACACATCATGTATGTACATATACTGACCGATTGAAATGGAGATTTATTATCTATGAACGAATCCCGTTGCAGTAATTTTCCACCCATAATCATCCTAGAACTTTTCGAAGAAGGATTGACATATACTGATTAATCGCGATCTTTTTCAATTCAGAACATTGTAAGACCGTGATGACTACAAATATTAATAAAAAATAACGATAATTAATAAAAATTATTGTAAACACACATTTTCGAGAAAATGCTAATTCTTTTCAAAAACAGAAATAAATAATATAAGTAATACGAATTTTTTAAAATTTAAAATTTGTTTGTAACTCTATTTTTTTTATTAAGATTAGGTGTTCGCGCATATAATCTTATTATTATTAACTTATTGTGACAAGTAGCTTATACAATTTTAGAAAGGAGATGTGTGATATCTATCTTTGTTTACTACAGTGGGTCACACACATCATCAATCATAGTATTCATATCAATATGCTTTCGCAAATAACACGGAAAATCGAGAATGCCATGTCCGATTTCGATACGCGTGTCGCTTGATCGCACTTTATTCGTCTTAAGAAACTACGTGTTCAATCAAAGCAGCGTTCGTGGCCGATTAATTTTTACTTTTGTTTATTTAAATGAGACACTTTGTGAATCTGTATTATTTATTTTTGCAGATATTATCGAGACATCTATACATTAAATACATACCTATATGTATAAATCAATTCCAATTTTTTCTCTTTTATCGATATGGCTGATATTTGCTCGATCTCTGATATTTGAAAGGTAATAATAAAATATGGCATGATGGCAGAAACTAACCAGTTGAGACAAGTAAATACAATATCATGTAGATGTCAATTCCTTGAACGCAATTTTTATTTACCGAGACAGTTATATTTATGTTGTAACAATATCGTAACATTTATCAATTAAAGAAAGTTAATATTTCTAATATTGGATTGTTTAGAAAGTTCCGGTATTTTATTAGCTCAAAATATAGACATAATATCTTTGTATATATAATATCTTTGTCAAAAATGAAATTTAAAAATGAAAAAAGAGTTTTAAAGCTTGAAATTTCTATTTTTAAGCAACTATAATTCTTGAGTTTATGTGAATTTGATAATATTTTTACATATAGAAAATTACGAGGCTGAAAAAAGAATTTTTTCTTCTCGCTTTGTAGGTTGTCATGTACAAAAAAAATTTTTGAATTTATTGTGAAAACTTGAAGTTTTCTCTACAAAATCGTTTTTTTTTAAATAAAAATAATCCTATTTTTTTTATATCTTCGTTAAAAATTATCGCTTTTTTATTTAACGGTAACAAACAATTG